GTGTGAAACCTTTTCATCTCCAATAAGCGCTTTGAACACAGCAGATTCGTTTGCTCTCAGATCTTTTCAGCCCCCCCCCCCCCCAACACACAACGATATTAATGGTTAATATCTTCATCTCAGTTGACCCAGCAAAGAAATAAAAAATGCACAAGATTCTTTTTGCACCAAAGAACCATGAAGTTTGTTTTTGTTGCAAGTACATTGTTCCATTTCCTCAATCTACAGCTTGCATTGTTAGAGTAACACAGAACCATTGCTATGAATGAAAACTTTGGCACTTATCGAACAGAAACAGTGTGCCACAGTTTAAAAACAGGCACAAGTGAACCTAATCTAGTTTTCATCCATTTTTTCTTGTTTCCCAGGTATTTAAAGGCCATGTTTTCTGTTGCTAGAGGACAATAGTCATTACTATTTACAGTAAACGATGTTCTTTTTCTTCTAAAACACAGCTTGACTACTCAACACAATAAAGCAGCTGTGTTTCTATAATAAAAAAATGTACAAACACTAAACTGTCAAAGTTAAAAATCCATTCACAAATGTAAATAACTACTGCACAGACTAATTCATTTCCTAAAACCACTGCAAGTTCAAAAATCTCCTTATACGGATACAGACATATGCAGTGAAAATTTGAATCAAAATTTGATGTCTTTAGTATATTCGCAANGGACATTTGAAGTAGACCAAAACACCCCGACAGGGTTTCTCATTGCATGTTTGCACGCATGCCAGCGTGGGCGTATGGGAGTGTGGACGTTGCTGTGGTGTCGCTGGGCTGTCGCAGGCCCTTTGTCTAGCTCTGAGTTATGTGGAGCTGCGTCTTCATCCCTGCTTTTGTCGGGCCGTGCTCTCCATGCTCACCCGTGGACCGGCGCCCCTCATCCTATTTGCCGTGTTCTCTTATAATCGAGGACCACAATGCTATAACCCCGTGACCTTTCCCAACAACAGGGAAATTAAAAGAGCTCCTCCCATCTCGCTCACAGCCAATCAGGGAACAAAGCAATTCTTGCATCTCGAAGCAAAATTTAAATGACAAATAAAAAAAGAAACCAAATATTCAAAAACACACAACTCAGACAATTTCAACTGGCAGCATCTTGTAAAGAGGGACAGTGCAAACAACCATTTTTAACAGCCATGGTTGGAGCAGATGCCAACTCTACCCCCAACAGCAGCAGTGGTGCTGGTTGTTAGTGGTAGCAGTAACCAGGGTGATGGCAGTCCATAAAGAGATCTTCGGTTTAAAGTGTTTCCAGGGATGAAAAAGGTAAAGACACAGACAGGAGGCGGATTGTGAGGAACTTCATAGTCACGTGAGGTCACAACCAACAAAATTTGAGTGTAAAGTTAGAAATTCCTGCACAAATGAGCCTCACAATCCCCCCAGAGAAGAAAACAGATACAAAGACGAAAGAGATGCATTGTTTCAGATCATCAAAAGGAAGTAAA